TTATACACAACAAAAAGAAGATTGAAATTAAATGCTCGATTTGCGTTCTAAAAACAAAATTTTATTTTGCCGTTTGTCAAACAGATTCCCTCTGGGTCCTTTAGTTAGAAAAAAATGGTTGGCATTAATTGGGTGGGTTGGTTGGAATCCTAAGAAGAACTTTACAATTTTGTAGTAAACATTTTATTGAGAAATATATAAGAAAAAGCAGAGTAAATACAACTTTATTAAAAGGAGCCATTCCTACATTATTTGTAACAGTAAGTATATTATTGTTACAATAAGACTTCTTTTTTTTATTTTTATAGGATGGGGTGACAAACGAGCACACAGTCCACCTGATGGTAAGTGGTTGCTGTGGCCCATAGACATCTACATCTATCCTCGTTTGCGAATCAAAATGCAGATGCGTTATCACCCGTGAGGACTAAGATGGAATGCCTCTTTTCCAGTAAAATGGGTTCCCGGTTCTCTACACTTACCATTCGAAACACAGCAGTGTTAAACTGCTATTTTACGCTGGTATAAAAATTTAACATCAAAAACTTTAGGTAAAAATACAGATAGATTTTTATACATTATAGAACTCTATCTCTATTATTTTATATTTTCCCCAAGGGGTTGTGCAGAGCTTTGGAATATATTCCTAAGTCACAATGATAAAACTTTTAGCGTAGTTAGGTATGGTTATTGAGTAATGCTACTGCAGCGCCCTAGATGCCATGAGGCGCGTGATTTAGTGTACCAGGATAGTATAAATTCCATAGTATTTGATACGCGCAACGCTGGATGTCCGATTCATGCTTGATGCTCGATGACAGTGTGCCGAGGGCTTGATAGTGTGGTTCATTACCTACTGCGTTACTCGTAGAAAAAAGGAACTCGTAGTTAAGTAACAGTTGCGTAGATTAATAGATCTGCAAGATAAAGGTGCACTTGCTGTGGTCGGTCCATGTGTGTGTGACCGTTTTCTTAACATACTGCGATTGAGAGCATAAAAGAGTGCATCTGTATCGTCGGACACTTGGTACACTTTAATGTCTCCAGCGTATTTCACTTGTCTATGTTAAGATCAGTACATTTTTTAAATTCAAGCAACTAAAATGATAATAAATTTATTATTACTTTATATTTTTCAGGGACAGATGAAAGAAAGAGTAGTCACATCATATGTCACTCGTGACATAACCCCTTCACCTTTGAAATCACAAGAAAGAAGTGATCAATTAACACCAAGAAAAAAAACTTTTATCAAAAATCGAGAAATTAAAACAAAAGCTGAAATAAAAACAAAAGAAAATACGTAGCTTAGCAGCAAAAACTAAAAGACAGGCTAAAAAAATTGTTACATTGCAAAAGGTGCTTGAAGAAATTCATTCAAGATCAGGATTGAAAGATCACTATAACGATATCACCATGGCATGTAGCAATGAATTGATACAGAATTTAATTAACAGGGTTAATGATAAAAAAACGTGGTAAAATAGTGTCTGCATCCAAATATAACGAAGAATTACGAAAATTTGCTGTCACAATACATTTCGATAGTCCAAGAGCACATAATTAATTAAGTGAAAATTTAATTTGTGTCTTCCACACGTTAACACATTGCGTACCTGGTATGCCAGACTATACTGGTTATAACCTGGTTTCACTCAAGAATCTTTAAACACCATTAGAGAAATGAGAAAAAAGGAGCTGATGTAAAACTTTGTCTCACTTTTGATGAAATGAGTATACGTGAATACACTGAATGGGTAGGCCAGAAGCATTATGGACAAAGTTACATGATGCATCAAACACTTCCTAAAAAATTCGTCATGAACTCTCGGACCAATATAGGCGTTCACTGCTGGTTTCTCTCGAATCTCATCGGGCGGCTAGGGTTTATGCGGTCGTTCGCGCTCCGAGCAGAGTGTTCATTATTTTAATTTTTCATTATCTCTTAACCTATGCGTCCAAATAACGCGCTATAAAGAGCAAAGTTTATCTTCATAAAATTGTCTTGATGATGAAGTAACTTTCGTTCGTAAGGGTTAATGTACCATGCCTAATAATAACGCTCATAAATCACTTTTTCATTTTCAATAATTTTTTTCACAAAATAACTTATTGTGGCTGTACACGCACCTAGTTGCCCAGACTAAGGTCTACCATACAGGGGCCCATACCGCTGTTAGGTTCGACGGACAACTAAGTGTGGGGCTCAAATGCCTTATGGAAAATGTCCTATCATACTACACTATAGGGAGAAGGCTAGGTAAATAAATAAGACGTACCTGGTTCTGAGGCGAAAAAGGATCACAAGGCTCGTTCAGGTGTTAATTGTCGTGAATGTAAGTAGTGCGTGAGAAGTGTAGATATGTGTAACCTGAATTAGCCCCTTTTAATCAGCAGCAACCCTGACTCCAGCACCGCCACCCTATGTGGTATCACTCCAACGGCATCACTCGGTGTCACTCAAAGTCTAGCGTTCATTTGCACAAATCTATAATCTAATACGAACGCTGGTTCTCGCGCGTCACAAAGTTTAGCACTTGACGTTCACAGCTCAATTAAATCCCGTTAATTATAATCAAAAACGTAAGACGCGGCACGAATCGAGGAGCGGTGGGTCAAAATTCACTTCCGTTCACGCAGCAACAAATTATTTCGAGAACCGAACGCGACCTTTTTAGGCACTTAACGCGACGGTACAATTAAACATTAACTTCCCAACAATTAGTCACCACAAAGTTACGTTACGACGGCGTCGCTGCACTAAAGCTACTGTGGTAAGCCCGCGTGTTCAGCGACTGCAAGCAGCACGCGACCGCCCCCTCCCCTTCGGCGGCGTTTACCTCACCTCACACCATCGGGCGATTCAATGAGTCAACGCGATTGGATACCGTTTTCAAATGCCTATATTTGGCCTAAACAGTGGCTTATGTATAAGAAATAGGAAGGAAAAGGGGAGATCTCCCGCTGGGCAATGTGTTCTGCCCGGGGAGCGGTCAACGCTCCGATTGGTAGTTCTATATATACATATGCATATATGCAGATATATGCTGCCTTAACTTAGGAACTTTGTTAGTGCGATTTAGGCTTTGATATGTTTCGCTTGTGGTGCGACGACAGCGCCGCCACATCACCCCTCTACTCAGACCGGAGGTTGATAATGCAGTCCGATTGCAAGTGCCAGGGATTGCCTTGTAGTCTGCGGTGAGTCGAGAAGAAGGCAAGTAATCTGCGAGAGTGCCGTGAAGCAGAGGCGAGCAGTAAGGCTCAGAGCCGTGCCTAACACTGTAGCGCAGAGAGTAGCTTGAAGGAACAGGAAGCATTATTTTTCAAATGCTGCGATGAACCTTTGTAAAGCTGACAATATCTGCTCGGGAGCGAATGAATGGGGTACGTGAGGATCATGACGAAGGTTTTGAAGTTGTAGTTTCCGAAGGTTGTTTGTTGCGTGTTCATATCACGTCGGGGTCACCACTGTGGCGGGTGGAAGGAAAAGGGGAGATCCCCGCTGGGCAAGGTATTCTGCCCGGGGAGCGGCCAACGCTCCGATTGGTAGTTCGGAGCTATTCTATATATGCTGCTTTAACTTCGGAACTTTGTTAGTTCGATTTAGGCTTCGATATGTTTCGCCTGTGGCGCAACGACAGCGCCGCCACAGGCATATGGTATCGCAGACTTTTTTTAGATGGAGCAAAGACCAATATTTTTGTAGAACATTGTATTTATCTAATACTAAATGTTACGTTAGCGCACGTGGATAAAGCAGTTACATAAGCTGCACTAAAAGTGTCGGGAATGGAATATTTCCACTGTTCCTGTCATATTAAAATCTTTTTAATTGAAAAGTCCTTGGTTTTTTACAATTGAATACCATTTATTTATTTAAAAAAGATTCTCGATCTTGTCACAAGGTTTAGTTAAACTTATTTAGTCGTTGAGAAAATGGAATTGACTCGAGAAAATTCAAGAGCGATGATTTATTATGACTTTCGAAGTGGTTTAACACAAAAACAGTGTGTTGTGATGATTTCTGCATTTGGTGAGAAAGCCCCATCCAAAACCACAATTTATCGCTGGTTTGCTGCATTTCAACGTGGTCGTGTCAAGCTCAGTGATGATCCCCGTCAAGGTCGTCCAAAAACTGCAGTCACCCAAGGAAACGTTGATGCTGTGCGTAAGCTGATTGAGGAAGATCGACATGTGACATACCGCGAAATTCAGGCAACTTTAGACATTGGCATGAGTCAAATACAAATAATCTTGCATGAACAATTAGGTGTAAAAAATTTGTTTTCCCGATGGATACCGCATTCGCTCTGTGAAGAGCAAAAAGCGGCCCGCGTTACTTGGTGCATCAGAACTCTCGAAAGATTCCACGCAGGATCCTCAAATGCTGTATACAACATCGCATTAGGTGAAGAATCCTGGATATACGCGTACGAACCCGAAACAAAAAACCAATCACGAGTTTGGGTGTTCGAAAATGAGTTAAAGCCAACAAAAATTGTTCGTTCACGGAGTGTTGCAATAAAAATGGTGGCCACGTTTGTCTCCAAAACCGGCCAGGTTACGACTATTCCTCTTGAGGCACAAAGAACGGTTAATGCAGAATGGTATGCTAGCATTTGTTTGCCACAGGTCGTTTCTGAACTCCGTAAAGAGAACTGCAACCGCCGCATCATCCTTCATCACCTTCATCATCCTTCGTCACGCGTTTTCGGGCTGTCAGGTCGTCTATACGCCAGTATATCCTAAGTCTATGGTGCTGGTAGATCTGAACGAAGCTTTACTCTAAGGTTTCAACTGACATGTAAGGAAATTTGTAAATGACATGGAACGTCAAAAGTTAAAAGCTAGTTCAAATAACAGATAACAGAGATAGTACCTAAATATATAAATAAAAGGAAAGCTTTGCGCAAACGTTGCGATATTCTTATTGGTTTGCCAATTCTACTGATTCATTTTTAAACCCCCTAATAATTTATTAAATCTTCTATTTTAAAATGTCCTTTGAAAAACCAGTGATTGTAATTGACAACGGCAGCTATAATATAAAGGCCGGATTTTCGTGTGACAATCACCCCGTTTCTATATTTAGGAATGTAGTAGGCCGGCCAATTTACCTCAATGGAGGATATGGCCGTGAATACTATGATGTATACATCGGAGATGATACTATATGCAACGCTGAAGATCTGGATTTAAGTAGACCAGTAATAAATGGACAAATAGCCAACTGGGATAATATGGAGAGGGTCTGGCATCATATATTTTATCAAGAATTAAAAGCTGCCCCTGAAGATAGGGCGGTACTATTAACCTGTTCGCCAATGTCGCCTATTAGCGAAAAGTAAGTAATTATGAAATAGTAACGACTTCTTTATACCGCGAACATAGTAGTATATGAGCTTTTAAATACTTTCTTTAGAATTTTCGGCTTTCCGGCTGAGGTCGCGCATTCGGCCGCTTGAATATCAGAAAACAAACATAATTCCGAAAAATCACAGCCAACTTTAGGTCCTACGACTGCATAAATATGTAAATACAGAATTACGTTTCAGATCTGTCCCATAGGAACCGTGCATTTTCCGGAATAAAAAGTAGGCCATGTTACTCTGCGGTACAAAAAAGTTATATTTATCACTTACCCCGTTGTTGCGTGAAAGAATGATAAACCAACAAACACACTATCGCATTTATAATATTAGGAAGGAAAACCTATTTTCAGATCTGTTCAATAGGAACCGTGCATTTTCCGGGATAAAAAGTAGCCCATGTTACTCTGCGGTACAAAAAAGTTATGTTTATCAGTAACAAAAAAGTAGCCCCCGGCTAACTAAACTATCTTTTTGCAAAAAATTATAGTGCTCCATTGCTTCGTTGCTGCGTGAAAAAAGTACAAATTAACAAATACACTTTCGTATTTACAATATTAGTTAATACGGGAGTGTGTTTTTATTTCTATATCGATCGTTTTCAATAACATAATATACGTAAAATTGTAGAAATTTATCATTGTATCGCTAATACTAAAACGCTTTTATTATTTCAGAATTAAATGTTGCGAGGTTTTCTTCGAGACTCTTAACAGTCCCGATCTTTGCATACGACCTCAATGCGTTTTAGCACTTTACGGCTCTGGAGTAACTACAGGCATCTGCGTTGACGTCGGCCATGATAATACAAATATTAATCCGATATATGAAGGTGGTGTTATTAGTTACGCGCATATGCAAACTCACATAGGAGGAAAACAAATTTCAAATTTCATAGAGAAACACCTACAAGAGCGTAACTTAAACTTGGGCATACAAGAAATAGACGTTGTCGAAGAAATTAAAAGAGACTGTTTATATAGATCATTCAATTCGTCCATGCATCAGGATGATGTTTGTGAAGATTACTTGTTACCAGATGGTACAAAAATAAATATAGGTGAAGAGACGCTTTTGTTGGGAGAAATATTTTTCCAGCCCGAGTTAATCAACATAGAACAGCACTACTGTCTACCTCTTCATGAAGCTATTACAACGTCGGTTTTAAAATGTGACCCAGATCTTACTTCCGAATTATATGACGCTGTAACTTTGTGTGGGGGGTCATCGATGGTACCTGGATTTGGTACAAGATTAGCAGCAGAAATAGAAAAAGTTATAGATTCTTCTATAACACTTTTGTCCTCACTGGAAGGCTATGCTATGGTATGGCTAGGTGGTGCAGTATTTGCTTCCCTCCCTGAATCAAAGCATGTGTGGATATCAAAAAGTAGCTATGAAGACCATGGAGAAAATATTGTTAGAAAAAAAATTTTATAAATATAATTATCTACTGATTAAAATAATTAACAAGCAGTTAAGTATGATATTTTGATAAAATGTGGAAATATTAATATTCCCGCCAAACTTATGACCAACTTTAAACGTTTCCAAAAATCAGACACAGAGAAAGACGTCTATACCAAGAACAGGTAGTGTCTTAAATAGCGATAATACAAGAAAGTCATGTACTGAATAAGGCTTTGTACACTTTCTGATTTGTAAAAAACATGATAGGAATTGATTTCGACGAATTCGACGACAACGACTAACCTAACAGTGTGTGTGTGTGTTTGTTAACCTATATATGTATGAATTTTATCCGTTACTCTTTCATCTTATGTTTTTTTGTTAATATAAATAATATTAATATAAATAATACTAAAAATAAAATTAAAAAAAATAAAAACCGATTTTTCCAGACCGATACGACTTAGGGACCTTCATGAAAAGAGCCTATTCCTTTTTAAAAGGCCGGCAACGCATCTGCAATTCCCCTGGTTCCCCTGGTGTTGCAGTTATTCGTGGGCGGCGGTAGTCACTTACCATCAGGTGAACCGCATGCCCGTTTGCTTAAAAAAAATATAAATGTTTCCGTCGTCAACTATTATAGCACGTCTATAACCAACTATTATGTTTTAGGTGGTTTAGCCACGCTTCACCTATAATATGGCCTATAATATGGCTACAGCAGGATTCTGCCACGGGTTTGCTTGACCAGGGAAGGATCACGCTTTTACAAAATACTACCAAGATAAATAGTATCTTAATGCTGCTGCGTTTCGTATAGTGTCTGGAAAGAACTGGAGACCCTTTTTAATGTGGACGAGACATTCTATCTTAGTCTTCAGGGGTTTTTTATAGGATAAGGGTGACAAACGAGCACACAGTCCACCTGATGGTAAGTCGTTGCTGCGGCCCATAGACATCTACATCTATCCTCTATTACAAATTAAAATGCAGATGCGTTGTCACCCGTGAGGACTAAAATGGAATGCCTCATTTCCAGTAAAAAGCGCCTCCGGCCACCTGCACTCACCAAACGAAACGCAGAGGTAAACCTCTACTTAACGCTGGTATTCTGTGAGGTCGTGGTACCACCCCGGTTCGAGCCGGCCCATCCGTGCGACAGCAAAAGCCGCCACGTGGGTCTACCACTACAATAACAACTCATCTACAATTTGTTTATTAATCGATACTATAATATATTATAGGATAGATGTATAATTCTCTAGGCCACGTCATCCACTTACTATCAGGTGGACTTAGTGGTCGTCCGTCGCTCTTTCCCCAAATACTCAAACGCTACTCAACTTTAAGATGCCGTTAGCCTCGTGCTATCTCTATCACGTTAAGTCGAAGTGACTGTGACACCTTCAGACTTAACTACATCTCAAAATTGAGTAGCGTTTGAGTATTTGGCCACTATCCTATAAAATAAATTAAAATAATAATTGAATAAAATAGCTTGATGGATTCTATTAAATCGCTACCTAACTGAATCCTTACTTAAGCTAGATTACATATTATTAATCTTATCAAAATATATTCCAAAAAATCTTGTAAAACATATTACTGTTATTTTAAGTAGGTAATAAAACAAAAATAGAAGACGTGGACTATGAAGTAAACAGAAATCAGTAAACATTTATATTGAGATTTTTTTATTTACATTATTGCAATAATAGTTAGTGTAATCTATATATGATAAAAGTATCATTCAATAATCTTCTTTTCAAATTCAAATTCTTCTCGAAGTACCTGTGTGTATGTACGATCTACCTATACGTATTTAATACACATTAAAAGAATTTACAGTGAACTCGATCAGCACCATCGTCTTCATACTCGTCTTTTGTCATCCAGAATCCATTTAATGAATCCATTGATGCCAAAATAGACCCCCCCGCCCAAGCAGCTAAATGCCTTGATGACATTGCATCGACATTAGTTTCCACATCTGGCAGGTCCTTAACTTGTTTATTTAATTCTATAGTCAAACGATCTGATAAACCTTTTAGTAAACTAGACCCACCAGACAATACTATATTATTATAAAATAGAGACTTATACTCCAAATCGCATTTTTTGATACTGGTGCAAATATCGTCAACTATACTAGGGCATTGCAATTTTAATAAATGAGGTTGAAATAGAAGTTCTGGACATTTGAATCGCTCTTCTCCTATCAATACATGTTGACCATCAGGAAGATCAAATTTTATTTTGTTATTCTCGGAGACTACTTCTTCGTCATATTCCCTTGCCACGTAACATAATTGTGCCTTAAACAAAGCAAAAAAAACATAATAAAATAAAACAATTTAAAAATTATACTGATTCTAATAATGCTACAATACAATTTAAAAGTTACAATAGTCCAATGGTAGGCTGAAGAATGCAAGCTTATAAAATCGCGGGTTTTATAAGTTTATATGTTGTTATTCTTTTGAAAACAGAAATAGAAAACTGTCCATTAACCCATTCAGTAGCCGTTAAAAGTACCCACAATAGTTTTGATTCATCATCTGATCCTATTAGTGCAGGAACCAAAGGGATAGTTGCAAAAGTTGTATACCAAATCAAACTTTCACACTCTTTGACAGATGTTATCATCATAGTCCCAGCACATATGTAACTAGTCTCTATGAAATATGATCTCAAAACAGAAGGATCATTCTGTTCTGATCATAGAGGCCTGTTTACAAATACTGAAAAAGCAACTTATATTTGTGACGCTCTTCACAGCCTATAGATTCTTCTTTGTTTTCTTCTTCACAGGCCCATAAACATCCACATCTGGACATGATGATGAAATGAAAGCTGATAACGATACGATCAGTACAAGATGGAGTGATAGACACTCTTATGCTGCCATTACAAGGCAAAACCGTAATATCTATTAATGGCCGTAATTGCCACGTTTAGCAATTGATATATTGTAGTAGTTGGGGACGTTTGTATCGGTTTCTATTACTCCCATTCGTAATTTTGGATATTCATTGGATGACTTATAAGAGATAGTTAAGGCGCCAAACTTAATAAAGTTATGTAATCTAGACATTTCTATAGTCTATTTCACAACGCTCATGAGATTAAATGTAATGATGTTACCACGCCACAACACGAAAACTGTGGTGGTAGAATTGAAATGCAAAATTAGCAATCTCAAAATGTACACGGGCTTATAATAATTTAAAATGTAAATCTACGTTTAACGATAATTCTCTTAAGCTATATAAAGGGGTACAAGAGCTGTATGGTTGCAGTTTCTTGTGATAGAATTGAGCTAGGCGCTCGCTTATAACTTCATTTTGTGAGTGCTGCCTCAGTTTTAATCGCTATTCGCATTCATTTCGCTATTTGGTGGTTAAGGAGAAAAATAATATTATATGTCTGAGAATTAAAAAATATTTTGAATAAATATAAAGTCTACTAACACGCCCTTTGAGCATTGCGACAAACTTTTCCTTGCTTAAATCACTATCAGAAATGAGTGGCAACTCAAATTCAATAGTGGAACGTTTCTTGATTATAACTTCACTTTTTTCTCCATATTAAATTAAATAAATAGTATTTTTGACGTATGGACACTGAGTGCCCATATTTCTCCTTACCTTTATGCTCTCCAACAATTCTATCTCCGTCGGAGTAGTGAAAGAGTATCCGACTTTATTCATTAAATTTTGAAGGCATTCCGTCAAAGTCTTCCCATTTATTTGGGAAGTAATTGTGGCGTTTTTTATTGGAAACCCTTCAAAAACCGGTGCTACATAAGAGCAAGAATATCCATTTTCCCAGACGACCCCAGAGGTCCTTCCACTGGCGTGCAAAACCAAAGCTGGAGATAGGCCCAAATAAATGTTTCGAACCATAAAAGATTCAAACATGATTTCTGTTATTTTCTCTCTAAAGAATAAAATACGAAAGATTAGTTTTAGTTTTTAGTTTAGGATTGTTTTTTCTTTGTCACTTAAAATTAATATATTACTTTTACAATATTTCAAGAATTTACAAATACAAATTTCAAGTTCTTACTTGTCTCTTTTCGAAGTCAATGGATGAATAACGTACATAACTCTTGCCTCTTCTGGAGGCACATGAAGCTTTCTGTAAAAAATATGATGCCAAAGTTTTTCCACGTCATCCCAGTCTTTGATAAAACCTTTATCGACAGGCCAATCGAGGTGGTTTACACCGCGCATCTTTATGGCTTCTTCCCCAAGAGTAACATCTGGAAAACCATCCGATAGACCACTTCGGCGAAATCTATAACAAAAAGAATAAAAGTATCATGTATATTATAATCCTACCTTCAATTTAGTACCAAGAACGGTAGCTGCGTTTCCTCATTGAATACATATACTTAGCCTTTGGACAAGAAGATAATGAGTCCTCTTGTCACCAGCAGTAAAACCAATTGTATTTACAATTCTTTTAGAAACTTCGCTTCGCATGTGTCGATTGTCTTTACATGTGTAAAATCTAAATATTAAAAACTATTTAAGTTGACTTAAATCACGATGTAGGTACATGAAGTTATATCTACTTATGTATTGATATAAAACATAACTATACCGTCCAAGTGTTGTTGGTATCATACATCTTGGAAAAGATTCACCAGCAAATCCAGCCTTTGTATTTTGCGAGCCTAAATCAAATACTACACTAACACAATTCTCATGGGTAGCCATTTTAGCTATATTGCTACTTTAAAATTGACTTTATTATTCCATGACCATCTAGACTTAGATGTTGTTTGGTTTTAGCATTTATAAAATTTCAGTAATATTCGGCAACGGTTTGTTTTACTAAAACCCAGAGACAAAAAGTAAGTAATATTCAAATCATGTAAAATGAAAGGCGAACCTACGAAGCGTAATTTGTTTTATGTGAAATATAAGAATACGAAAACTGAAATTGAAGACACAGATGTTGAGATTCTTTAATAAATTGTCGAAATTTTAGATTTTGTCGAAATTTTGGATTTTATTTTTCTTTTTTCGTTTTTTTCTGACCCGTCAATTTTTAAATTATTTCCCTGTTTGGTCTGAGGGAATAGAAATTCACTATAATTACAGACTGAGGCATTCCATCTTCATCCTGAAGGTTCATAACGCATCAATAATTTTTTGTTTGAAGTTGATTGTAGATGTCCATGAGCTGCAGTACCAACAAGTAGACTGTAAGTTCGTTTGTCATTTCCTTTTAATAAAAATAAATATTTGTTTTTAATTTGCCTGATCAAAGCTCATTAAATACTTCTTAGTGGTCGCCTTAGTGGTCGAATTCGACCGAAATGTATTAAAGTTTTAGGGTTGTGATGCCATATGTCACATTCCTTTAATTCCGCTCAAGAATGTATACAAGTTTTCCATTCACGTATCCGCTGACGATTTGTGTGTTATCTGCAATTATTTTCTTACCCTGTACACCATATTAGACATGCGCGCCGAGCAAGAATTTGGCGGCGGCGGCGCGCCGACCCATTGTGGTCGGCGTGGCGACGCCGCGCCGGCGTGGCCGTATTTTATTTTAATTTTTATAAACATTTGTTTAAAATAAGGTAGTAACAAGTGAAACATTGACCTAGATAGGAATTCAAATTTAATTTCTCAAAATAAAAAGAAACCAAACAAGTTCTAATTAATTATACTTTATAATTTGTGCAAAAACGAAAAAGCACATTTTTTCGTTTTTTGCACAAATTATAGGAAATTAAAATTGTGTTTTTTGCACAATGTATAATTATCATGAATAGAAATAATTTTATTAACGCGTACTGGGCTTAGTCTAGATCTTTTAGCAGCCACAGTTAGTCCCACTATAGAAAAAACGCGCTCACTTGGCGTGCTAGTAGCAAATGTTCTGATCACAGAGTACTTTTTATATACATAAAGTTCTGATACGCGCTCCAGAGACTGTAAAAATTTAATTTGTTCTATTTCCGCCGCTCGCTTCAATTCCGGTAAGCGATACCGAACGATTTTTACCATCTTTTTACATTTTTTTATTGATTTTTGAATTTTTAAATAATAGCATGGTTTTATTGACCCCGCGTCCGCGCGCCCGTCCCGCGTTGGATTACGGCGCGCCGATCGGATTTGTCGGCGCGGCGCAGCGTGGGCAGGGCGCGGCGTGGCGCGGCGGCGCCGGCGCGGCGCGCATGTATACACCATATCTATTTCATATCTAATCTATATGCAGATAAATAAAATTGAAGTGTCTGTTTGTAATGTCAAAATAACAGCTTTTTACTAATTGCATATAAAAGTATATACGGTACCTATAACAGAAACATAATTTTTAAAATTTTTGTCTGTCTGTCTGTCTGTTTATTCCGGCTAATCTCCGAAACGGCTGGACCGATTTTGTCGGGACTTTCACTGGTAGATAGCTCATGTTATAAGGAGTAACTTAGACTACTTATATTTTTAAAAAATAATAAAGGTTCGGCGCAACAAAATTAAAACCCTAAATTACACGCGAGCGAAGTCGCGAGGAACAGCTAGTGTAAAATAAAATTCACTAAAATATCTTTCACTATAATTTTTTTTTCTTTTACTATTTAAAGTCAAGAAATGTATTTAATCGTTGCTGTTTACCGTTATTTTAGGTCCATCCTACAACGAGAGAGGTCCATGTTCAGCAGTACACTTTTACGAACTGATGAAGAAGATGACGGGGGCTGACAACGCTTTTAACTTATTTAGATATTTATTTAAGCTCGCAATTTGAATGAGTATAGTATACAATGTCATAATTTACCACATGGCTTAGTAAATATAATAGCTTTCTACTTCACCCCAAGTCGATTCCCCTTATCTATGTCACTGCATCCTATCCTACCTTCAATGTTACTGTAACATAAATTATTACAATGGCTGGAAAACATCGTTTACATTCGTTTTATTACCTTTCAATCCAAAATCACACATTTAATCTCATGATGTTAATGAGTAATTTTCATTCAGTTAAAAGTAAAAAACGTCACAAAGTCCACTAGATAGTCAATGAATGCTGTAGCCCCAGTATAGATATACATGCATCCTGGATTAAGAATCAAAATGCAGAGGGTTTTTCACTCACTCACACTTATTAAAAATTTGTGTCCCGTTAGAAGCAAAAAAGGTCTCCTATTCTCACAACTCACCATACTAAACACACTAGCATTATACTATGCCTATTTTCTCTGTACAAACGTGTTCCTCCTCCTACATACCATGGAGAGAATGGTAATTGTAATTGGCAACCTAAAAAATTTTAAGTTTTTCTCTAAATATCAATATCGAGGCAGATTACTCCAATTTACGTGATTCTTTAAAGCAGACTAACAAAAATAGAATAAGAGAACCTAAAGAATTTATAAGCATATAAGTAGAACACGTTTAACGTCCATATCACACCTATGCCGTTAGCTGTTGGATAAACTACGCTCTAAGTTGTTGACAGTTGTGTATGTCCAACTTCGACAACTTCGTACGTCAAGCGACGAATCCACCTCGACTGGGGATCCTTCGGGAAATCACGACACATCCTCTCGTCAATTAATATTTAAACAAAATTGTACTACCACTGCGTATCGCCTGTGATAATATAATAACCGTGATTCGGCGAACCACGTAAAACTGAAGTGACAAGGTACCAGCCATATAGCTCGAAGATATATAAAGAAGAAAGGTTTTCGGGTGACCCCATCGTAAGGTAAGTAGAGTATAAGATAATTCTCTCTAATAAGTGGAGTCGATCGTGTTTTGTGACAATCTGTCTGACTATCTTTGAGGGAGGCTTTAGTTTAGAGTGATGAACTATAATGAAGATGATGAAACAACAGATAAAGCAATATTGACGGCTCCGTGTTGCAGTGTTTTAGCAATGAGTTGCTGCGCAGGGGGCCGCGGGTTCGAATCCCGCACGGAACAAGTATTTGTATGGCCTACAAATAATTGTTCCGGGTCTGGATGTTTGTCCTTGTGCAATTTGTGTTTGTAAACTGCCTCCACGATACAGAAGAAAATCCTAGTGTGGGGTAACGTTTTTTTTAAAGAAATAAAAAAAATAAAAATAAAAATATTCATATACTGGGAAAAGTATGTCGCAATTTTGCCTTCACTAGACGATTTTTGGGCTTGTTCATTGATGTGATTACACCTTAATTATTGGAAATCAATTGTTCACAATAATACATTTAGTCGTTGTCTCCAGTGCTGTAAATACAGTGAATAAATTCAACCTATTGAAATTTCCTATTTTACCAAGTTCCAGAAATGAGCAGGAACTTTTGTTATTGTGTTTGTTGTCGTTAGTTCAAGTATTAAAAGGGTAAAATAATTAAACTTTTAAAAAAAGTGTAATTATTTTAATTTGCTTAATTTTTTATTAAACAATATATATATAAAAGTAGGAATTCAAGCCCAGACTTGAGAAGCTATTATGGAATATTTTTAAGTCGATTTTCCTTTTTTTTAGTTTAATTGTCACTTATGCACATATACACACTGCATATTAATCTACCTCAAATCTATATCAAATCTATTATCGCATCACGTGCTGTGACATGTACATGCAACATCAAAAACGAGTATATAACACATAATGAAAAGAACTCCAATTAAAACCACTTAATTTAAAAAAATTATCAAGTATATGGCGAGACTGTGTACCCATAAATTAGTATAAGCTTCAATAGTAATAGCTAATGGTCACAGTATACGATATTATTCTGGTGTTACATGTTATTTTATGTTATTACTGTATTGGTATTAAAGTATGAGCTGCATTGCAAAATTTTTATTCAAATTTATACGTAGTTACAATATTTTAAAACCTACGGTTCAAAGTAAATATGTCCTCATATTGCAGGCTACTCTTGCAAAGCTTAAGGACGCGTTTACAAAATTGATAGGTATAGAATCGAACTACTACATTGACACTAGTCACACACACAAGTGCACGCACGGTTAGCTGCGGGAATCGCAATCAAGTATAAACATTTTGATAATTTGAAAGATTGTTTTTTTTTTCATATTTCTTATTACCTACAAAAATATACTTAGATATGAAATATAAATGGCTGCTCCAGAGACAGCTAGGTACTAGAAGCCATCTACAGGGAATGAGATGTTGGCTGTGGACTTTGAGCTGGTTTTGTTAAGTTGTTAAGGAAGTGACTTGAAGGTATACTTGGGTGACTGCTACTACTAGGTATGCCAAGTTTGGGCTCGTTTTGTTAGTAACGATGAAACCTTACCTCCGGACTTGACAGAATGACCTGATGGTGTACGTTGGTGACTACTACTGCAACTCCTGAACGAGTAAAACTAGGTATGCGTAGTTTGGGCTCGTTTTGTTAGTTACGATGAGACCTTACCTCCGGACTTGACAGAATGACCTGATGGTGTACGTTGGTGACTACTACTGCAACTCCTGGACGAGTAGAAGTAGGTGTGCAGAGTTAGGGCTCATTATGTTAGTTATGACGAAACCTTACCTCCGGACTTAATGGAGAGACCTGATGGTGTACGTTGGTGACTACTACTGCAACTCCTGGACGAGTAGAAGTAGGTGTGCCGAGTTAGGGCTCATTATGTTAGTTATGACGTGACCTTATCTCCGCACTTGATGGAATGACGTGAAGGTGTACTTCGGTAACTGCTAGTGGAACTCCTGGACGAGTAGAACTAGGTATGCCAAG